TCTGTAACGGCCCCTGTATGTCTCTCTCAATAACTGTTGCTAGGTATCTCTCTCTGTAATGGCCCCTGTATATCTCACTCCATAAGTGTTCCTAGATATCTCCCTCTGTAACGGTCCCTTGATGTCTCCCTCAATAGCTGTTGCTAGGTATCTCTCTCTGTGACGGCCCCGGTATATCTTCCTCCATAACTGTTCCTGGATAGTTCCCCTTGTAGCGGATCCTGTATGTCTCCCTCAATAACTGTTCCAAGATATCTACCTCTGTAACGGGTCCTGTATGTCTCCCTCCATAACTGTTCCTTGGTATTTCCCTCTGTAACGACCCCTGTATATCTCCCTCCATAACTGTTTCTAGATATCTCCCTCGGTACCGGCCCCTGTAAGTCTCCCTCCATTACTGTTCCTAGAAAGTTTCCTCTGTAATGACAATGTACGTTTCTCTCCATAACTGTTATGTAATTTCCCTCTGTAACGGCCCCTGTATGTCTCCCTCCAAAACTGTTCCAATAAATCTCTCTCTGTAACGGCTCCTGTATGTCTCCCTCCATAACTGTTTTTAGATATTTCCATCTATAATGGCCCCTGTATATCTCCCTCCATAACTGTTTCTAGATAGCTCCTTCTGTTACGGCCCCTGTATTTCTACTTCCATAACTATATCTAGATATCTCCCTCTGTAACTGCCCCTTTATGGCTATCCAAAACTGTTTCTAGATATATCAATCTGTAATACCCCCAGTATGTTTCCCTCAATAACTGTTACTAGATATATCCCTCCGTAACGCCCCTGTATGTCTCCCTCCATAACTGTTTCTAGATATTTCCATCTATAAAGGCCCCTGTATATCTCCCTCCATAACTGTTTCTAGATAGCTCCTTCTGTTACGGCCCCTGTATTTCTACCTCCATAACTATATCTAGATATCTCCCTCTGTAACTGCCTCTTTATGGCTATCCAAAACTGTTTCTAGATATATCCTTCTGTAATACCCCCAGTATGTTTCCCTCAATAACTGTTACTAGATATATCCCTCCGTAACGCCCCTGTATGTCTCCCTCCATAACTGTTTCTAGATATTTCCATCTATAAAGGCCCCTGTATATCTCCCCCATTACTGTTCCTAGATAGTTTACTCTTTAACAGCCCCTGTAAATATCCCTCCATAACTATTTCTATATATCTCACTTTGTAACGGCCCCTGTATGTCTCCCTTCAAAATTGTTCTTAGAAAGTTCCATCTGGAACGCCCCGAGTATGTCTTCCTCAATAACTGTTCCTAGATAGCTCCTTCTGTAACGGCCCCTGTATGTCTCCCTCAATATCTGTTCCTAGATATCTCTCTCTGTAACGGCCCCTGTATGTCTCCCTCAATAACAGTTATTAGATATCTCCCTCTGTAACGGCCCCTGTATGTCTCCCTCAATAACTGTGCCTAGATATCTCTCTCTGTAACGGCCCCTGTATGTCTCCCTCAATAACAGTTATTAGATATCTCCCTCTGTAACGGCCCCTGTATGTCTCCCTCAATAACTGTGCCTAGATATCTCTCTCTGTAACGGCCCCTGTATGTCTCCCTCATTAACTGTTCCTAGATATCTCTCTCTGTAACGGCCCCTGTATGTCTCCCTCAATAACAGTTCCTAGATAGCTCCTTCTGTAACGGCCCCTGTATATCTCACTCCATAAGTGTTCCTAGATATCTCCCTCTGTAACGGTCCCTTGATGTCTCCCTCAATAGCTGTTGCTAGGTATCTCTCTCTGTGACGGCCCCGGTATATCTTCCTCCATAACTGTTCCTGGATAGTTCCCCTTGTAGCGGATCCTGTATGTCTCCCTCAATAACTGTTCCTAGATATCTCTCTCTGTAACGGCCCCTGTAGGTCCCCCTACATAAATATTCCTCGATATCTCCCTCTGTAACCATCCCTTCGTATCTCCCTCTGTAACAATTCCTTGGTATCTCCCGATGTAACCATCACTTGGTATCTTCCTATGTAACCATCCTTTGGTATCTCTCTCTGTAACCATCCTTTGGTATCTCTCTTTGTAACCATCCCTTGGTATCTCCCTCGTTATCCATCACTGTATGTCTCACTCTGTAATCCTTCCTTGGTATCTCCTTCTGAAAATATCCCTTGGTATCTCCCTTTGTAACCATCCTTTGGTATCTCCCTCTGTAACCATCCCTTGTTGTCTCCCTCTTTAACCATCACTGTATGTTTGTCTTTGTAACGATCCTTTGGTATCCCCCTCTGTAACCATCACTTGGTATCTCCCTCTTTAATCATCCCTTGTTATCTTCCTCTGTAACTATCTCTTGGTATCTCCCTCTGTAACCATCACTTCGTATCCCCCTCTGTAACCATCACTTGGTATCTCCCTCTGTAACCATCCCTTGGTATCTCCCGATGTAACCATTCTTTGTTATCTACCTCTTTAATCATCCCTTGGTATCTCCCTCTGTAACTCACTCTGAAACTATCTCTTGGTATCTCCCTCTGTAACCATCACTTGGTATCTCCCTATGTAACCATTCCTTGTTATCTTCCTCTGTAACTATCTCTTGGTATCCCCTCTGTAACCATCACTTGGTATCTCCCTCTGTAACCATCCCTTGTTATCTTCCTCTGTAATCATCACTTGGTATCTCCCTCTGTAACCATCCCTTGTTATCTCCCTCTGAAACCATCCCTTCATATCTTCCTCTGTAACTATCTCTTGGTATCCCCTTCTGTAACCATCCCGTGGTATCTCTCTCTGAAACCATCCCTTCATATCTCCCTCTGTATTCACTCCTTGTTATCTCCCTCTGTAACCATCACTTGGTATCTCCCTCTGTATTCACTCCTTGTTATCTCCCTCTGTAACCATCCCTTCATATCTCCCTCTGTATTCACTCCTTGTTATCTCCCTCTGTAACCATTCCTTGTTATCTTCCTCTGTAACCATCCCTTGGTATCTCCCTCTGTAACCATCCCTTCATATCTCCCTCTGTATTCACTCCTTGTTATCTCCCTCTGTAACCATTCCTTGTTATCTTCCTCTGTAACCATCCCTTGGTATCTCCCTCTGTAACCATCACTTGGTATCTCCCTCCGAAACCATCCCTTCATATCTCCCTCTGTATTCACTCCTTGTTATCTCCCTCTGTAACTATCCCTAGGTATCTCCCTCTGTAACCATCCCTTGGTATCTCCCTCTGTAACCATCCCTAGGTATCTCCCTCTGTAACCATCCCTTGGTATCTCCCTCTGTAACCATCCCTTCATATCTCCCTCTGTATTCACTCCTTGTTATCTCCCTCTGTAACCATTCCTTGTTATCTTCCTCTGTAACCATCCCTTGGTATCTCCCTCTGTAACCATCACTTGGTATCTCCCTCCGAAACCATCCCTTCATATCTCCCTCTGTATTCACTCCTTGTTATCTCCCTCTGTAACCATTCCTTGGTATCTCCCTCTGTAACCATCCCTTGGTATCTCCCTCTGTAACCATCCCTTGGTATCTCCCTCTGTAACCATCCCTAGGTATCTCCCTCTGTAACCATCCCTTGGTATCTCCCTCTGTAACCATCCCTAGGTATCTCCCTCTGTAACCATCCCTAGGTATCTCCCTCTGTAACCATCCCTTGGTATCTCCCTCTGTAACTCACTCTGTAACCATCCCTAGGTATCTCCCTCTGTAACCATCCCTTGGTATCTCCCTCTGTAACCATCCCTTGGTATCTCCCTCTGTAACTCACTCTGTAACCATCCCTAGGTATCTCCCTCTGTAACCATCCCTAGGTATCTCCCTCTGTAACCATCCCTTGGTATCTCACTCTGTAACCATCCTTTGGTATCTCACTCTGTAACCATCCCTAGGTATCTCCCTCTGTAACCATCCCTAGGTATCTTCCTCTGTAACCATCCCTAGGTATCTCCCTCTGTAACTCCCTCTGTAACCATCCCTAGGTATCTCCCTCTGTAACTCCCTCTGTAACCATCCCTAGGTATCTCCCTCTGTAACCATCCCTTGGTATCTCCCTCTGTAACCATCCCTAGGTATCTCCCTCTGTAACCATCCCTTTGGTATCTCCCTCTGTAACTCACTCTGTAACCATCCCTAGGTATCTCCCTCTGTAACCATCCCTTGGTATCTCCCTCTGTAACCATCCCTTGGTATCTCCCTCTGTAACTCACTCTGTAACCATCCCTAGGTATCTCCCTCTGTAACCATCCCTAGGTATCTCCCTCTGTAACCATCCCTTGGTATCTCACTCTGTAACTCCCTCTGTAACCATCCCTTGGTATCTGTCTCTGTAACCATCCCTTGGAATCTCCCTCTGTAACTCACTCTGTAACCATCCCTAGGTATCTCCCTCTGTAACCATCCCTAGGTATCTCCCTCTGTAACCATCCCTTGGTATCTCACTCTGTAACTCCCTCTGTAACCATCCCTTGGTATCTGTCTCTGTAACCATCCCTTTGTATCTCCCTATGTAACCATCCCTTGGTATCTCCCTCTGTAACCATCCCTTGGTATCTCCCTCTGTAACCATCCCTTGGTATCTCCCTCTGTAACCATCCCTTTGTATCTCCCTATGTAACCATCCCTTGGTATCTCCCTCTGTAACCATCCCTAGGTATCTCCCTCTGTAACCATCCCTTGGTATCTCCCTCTGTAACCATCCCTTGGTATCTCCCTCTGTAACTATTGCTTGGTGTCTTCCTCTTAAGCAGTATAGTCATTTGCATATGAGGCCCGGATAACAATTGTTAATGATGTCAATGACCCCAACTGAATGCTGACACCTCATAAAAATGATGTCAGTAACAAGTACACAAACTTTAAATGTCAATTGCTGTGTGTGTAGGATGTCTTGCTGGGGTAAGATAGAGATATCTTACCCTCAACAGAAGTGTGGATATTTCTGTCTGGTAGGGCAGAAACAGTTTCCAGCCATCTATCACTTTGAAAGGTATCACATCACTTTGTCATAAATAATTCAATTATATGAAAGATGTGAAAAGAATTTATTATAATAAAAAACCTCACAAACTGCTTTTACAATGATATGTTTGGTTATTTCAGATATATTTGATGGAATGTAAATCCTTTTCCTGGTGTTTGAGAATGAACACAACGGACACATGAAAACTGGACGGATTATCAAGTCATAAATGACCAAATATTGACTACAATCTAACACCAGGTAAAGATATGTAAGAGACCAACAGAAGTTCAACACCTCATCAGTAACTAATCATCATAGCTAGTCTGAGACATGACAACACCTTATCAGTAACTATCATCATAGCTAGTCTGAGACAGGACAACACCTCATCAGTAACTAATCATCATAGCTAGTCTGAGACAGGACAACACCTCATCAGTAACTATCATCATAGCTAGTCTGAGACAGGACAACACCTCATCAGTAACTATCATCATAGCTAGTCTGAGACAGGAATAATGTAACACATAGTTATTTGTATTCCCATCTATAAAAGATATATCCAGATTGTTTTTTAGTTGTTTGTAATAAATTTGGTCCTATTTTTTCATTGCTTCTCCTCTGTAAAAGTAGTAAGTAATTTATTAAGTTTTATCCACGGACAGCGTTCCCATGGACATTGATTCTGTGTATAGATATAAAATGATCATAAGCTGATTCTATGACAACTCGCAAGTGCTGCGCTTCTGCCCCATTCACTGAAATATCCTCATTTTGTAGCTGGCCATCACCATGTGTCAATTCTGTAAAATGTGAAAGTACAGGACATGAATCTTATGAGCTACAAAATGTCAATACAAAACATTTCAGATCAAAGTTGAAAATGAATACAATATTGCAAATTCAGTAAAATCAATCAGTAGCATGGATGTAGTGGAGAAACCCTTGATACAACACTGATCAATATTACCTTATCTTATAAATATGCATGAATTCACCCAAAAGCAGGAGATCTTGAGATGCTCACTAGGGGAGGTTGGGGAAGTAGTTAAGTGTACAAGATAAACTTTACCTCTTTCTGTTATCTTCTCAAACTTCAGTGGATCTGGGTCTTTACACTTTTCAAAAATAACATTTTTCACTGAAAAGGAAAAATTTGTTTGTTGTTTTCCTCACTTACAACAATTATACATGCCTTACAATGAATTCTATTTTTTAATGACAGCTACATACTGATTTAATTTCTTAAAGCAGCAACAAAATATTTCTTATACAGAAAACATTTTACTTTAAAGTGTGACACTGTTGATCAGGAAAGAAAACATTGCAACAATTTTTGTAAATGCAGACAATATCAATTTTCATGATCAAAAATTTGAAAATTGAATGAATGTGGATATGTGAATAAAGTATGTTGTTTACTTAAAGTGAAAACACAATTAATCCTAACATATACACTCATAGTCACATAATTTGTCATTATTTTTATATTGAGTACTAACAGTGACAAATGTTGTACAGTTACAATGACCATCAATACACAATAGAGCCATACATAAATAGCTTATACTGTCCTGTCCCTGACCTGTACATGGTAATTACTTAACTTACTTACATTACTATTTCCTTTTTCAGTATGCAAAAGCAATATAACACACATAGCATTTACACTTACTATAATACAATACTTACCATTTGAACAACATAATTCAATTCTTGCTATGTTGACTACTGATGTGAAAGTCAGAATGAATTCCTGAGGAAAAATTCCAGTGGAAGCCCAGAATGTTTGAGTGTCTCTGTAAGGACAATTTAAAACATATTATCCTATAACCTGGGTACAAGGGTACATAGGAATCAAAAGTGAAATACACTTTGTACCATTTACTTTGATAAATCACAAAAATTAATCAACCAGTCAAAATTATACCATGATGTTACCATGTCTCACTTGCATGTGATTTATGGTAATGAAACTGGAAAAAAATTGCATATGTGATTGTCTTTAGCTGCTGGTCACTAGAACCTTTATTGCAGCATCAAATGGAGATTTCAGACTTCCCATCCATTGATTGAGGAAAAAATATCTTGACCCATAGTACATCTTTTCAAGCCTTCATATGGAAATTAAAAAAATTCTTAATTTCTTAAATAATACTATCTGATTTCCAGATAATTGCACAAGAACCTATGTTACTTTCTGTGAATGAGAAATGCATCATTTCCTACATGAAAGGTGACAAAAAATCCTGATTTGGCATGAAACTTGTGATGTTTTTGTAATCGGAAAGTGTAAAGGAAAGAGTGAAAAATACCTTGCTCCAGTTAGATTCGAACAAACAACCATCTGGTCTCAAGCTAGACACTCTACAACTTAATCAAATGGAAATTTCGACTAGACTAAACTAGTAAGTTTACCTGAATTCTAAACTTCTCCCTTCTTTACTCCTTTCCATAACAGATTTGGTGCATTTGATCACTCCAATGGTAGAGGATTTAAAAGAATGAGATGCTTCCTCAGAGATATTGAACCAGGGTTGTTGTCTTTCAAGGTTGCAGACCTCAAGAAGAAGGTTTGGTGTAAAAATCGACAGTACTGGTCACCTTGCTAGCTTCGGCCAGTGTAAGTTTCCTTTTAGTCAAGCTGCAGAGTGTGAGTCTAGCGACCCAAGGGATGTTAATTCAAACCCCAGGAGTGGCAGGATGTGTTTGTTTTTCATTGGGTCATTCCTTCCTATTACATGTAAATGTTGGTTTAACTTAGTCTTAAAAAGGTTGTTGTCACTCAGTTGACAGAGCATGTTTCTTTAACCCAGTTGGTACAGTTTGTCTATAATCACGCCGGAGTCCAGCGTTCGAAAGACAAATTGGTATGCTAAACATGGTTGGGGTAAACCAAGAAAAGCACCGAAAAGGAGAAGTAATGACGAAAAGGAGTACTTTTAGTGCCTTTCCCCACAAAAAGGACATCGTTTCTCTTTTTTTACCATACACAGAGCAAATCTTCATAATTTTAGCGAAATTCCGTATTGCACGTGTTTAATATCCTACTTGACTATGTGTTTTCCCCGTTTTGTGATAAACATATGTGCGTCATAATTGTATATGTTGACTTCCATGACGAAACCCGATGTTTATCTCAAAGTGAAATGTTATGTTGATAACATGACTTTATCCCAAAATAACATAATAAAATTGCAGCTTTGCAGAACTTTATAATGTGATATGGAACCGTCGAATCTGATCATGGACTTGGGCATATCTCATAAAAAATATCATTTACAGAGCAACCGTGTACCACTGTAACATTTAAACATATTCAAAGTTTACCCGTCTATCATATTCTCCGGTGGGTAGTTATCATCGCTAGATGTTGCCAGAACCACGGCTGCCCCAGCACTTTTCAGCGCAACATCAAACATTTCGCTTGTTTCTTTTTCGTAGCTGTCAAAGTATTTTAAAGATTGCGCATGTGTAAGAGTTTCATTGATTTCCGGTTAAGTCGCAGCAAGTGCGCGAAAGTTTGAAGAGTGTATTGAACACATCGCTATGTCAAGATGCAGAATGAAGGCAGGCGATTTAGTGCCAAGGTTTTTCAGTAGCCTACAATTTTTGTACTAAAACACCAGTCCGGAGCTGAAGGTGACCAACACTATCATTTATATGCTATAATGGACTGGACTTTTCTGGTATTGTTTACATTCCATATACATGTGCCTGTTGTAGAAGCTATTAGCGGATATCACGAATTATATGTACAGAAGGCTAACACCGAAAATCTCCTTCTCTAAAATGATAACTTTATGTCAATATTCAGATTAATTATGCTGTTAATTGAATTTACATTTTGATTTATAACATACGCCTAGAAAGAGAGGAGTCCGATGAAGAGGACCTTTAATGACCTGTATTAGAAACTCAGGGTTTTCCATAATTTTGTTAGTAATAAGCTGTTTAGTGAAAGTAGGAGGCTGGTGAAGCAAGCCGACCCGAGCCGCAGTGCGGCGAGGTGGGGGTGGCCTGCCGTGTACGTGTAGTCATGTACGGAACATTATTATGGAACTGGATTGGTGTAGGCGGCCAAATGATCAAAGAAAGATCAGGGAAAACCCTGAAAACTAACCTTAAGTAACCTGAAGTAGTGACTATGCTATTTCCGATTATAAGCACGAGAAGCATAGCTTACTTGCATGAAAGGTGAAGAAGGGACAGCCCATTTGATGTTGATTAATTTTGACCGGTTTCTCATAACTACCACAGGAAGATTAAACTGGGTCTGTGTTTGAGGACAATAGGTTTTATTCCTCTGGATATATCACCTTTTTCATAAGTCAAAGACATTGGTGACCGATGGTTGGTTTGAAAGTGACCAATTTTCAGTGTGAATTTATAAAGCAAAATTTTGACTCAATCATAGTTTGTTTTCTCTCGGTTTTCACTTAGGATATACTCACAAATAAAGTTCTTACCTATCTGCTTCAGTCGGATAGCAGAAGGTAAAAGGCAAAAATGATGAATCCTGCCTTGTTTCTTCAGTGTTGTCTGTCTCTTCATTTCCTAACATGTTTTCAGAGCCTGCAATGTTTTTTTAGAAATGTTTGTTTCTTCTTCTGTTTTATACTTTGACTCAGATCATCCCCAAAGAAGGTTTCCCCCACTGGTTGATCCTAGCTTTTGAGGTCTTAGAAATCTTTGTACATGTCTTACTCCAATAAAAGTCTTTGATGGATAGACATGACAGTACAGCATCTGCAGCAAATTTTGCTGTCACTTGCAAGCATCAAGATATCTTAGGTCATTCAGAAGGAAGATTTTGGCCCGATCATTCCTAGCTTTTAAGAGGACATTTGTATAAGCCTGAGAATGGAGAACACCCCTTTTGCTAATGTTTGCTGGATTGTTAGGAATTTTACATCCATTTCATTTTTAAAACAGTTCCAAAAGTTCCAATATTTTCTTTTTGGGTGCTCTTATACCCATTGCAGAGTTCACATTAAAAATGGCTGATAAAGTCCAAAAACACAAAAAGTCTTTTTCTACTATTTGATCATCTATTTTATCTTGTTTGATACATCAGCATTGTAAATAATTAATAATTTTTTTGTGTATTTTTGAAATTTTTACAGCTTCATGATGAGCATGCACATCTACTACCTGTTCAGTAGAATTACAAACAAGTGTTTTTTGTTTTTCATGGCCTTCCAATTAAGAGTAAAAATTAAAATGAAGACAGAAAGTATCTTTTAAAATTGATGTACAAAAGGAGTAGTTCACTTGTACCTTACAGAGTTATGGCTCTTTTGCAGTTTTTTTACCATTTGAATCTGTGAACACAATAAATGTCTCAGATAAGTTCAAGAATGGGACTGATGTGATGTAAATTATATAGAGTTATGACTCTTTGCAGTTCAAGTTGAAATTATTCATGAAACTAGAGAGGTGAACAACAAAATTCATTAATACAGTTAATTATATTTAAGTAAGGCAATTCTGTTGTACATTTCCATCTTTCAGAGAAGCATGCATGTTTGGTATACTGCACGATGTTGAAGAAACCAAGATTGGATATTGCATCAACTGCACATGTGGCTACCACACCCAACTCTCTGTTTAAACTAGCTGTACATTACATTGCACAACATCTTGAATTGGTGGAATCATTCATGGGTTTTCCAGAAATTGTTGGAGAACTCATATTTAGGGCAGCGGAACACAGTTGTAGATTTGATTATGAAGAGGATGAGTACCACAAGTGTCTGAGGCGATTAATACTGTTTACTGAAGCCTACGGAGAAGTTGTCCTGTCTAAGTTAAGTTTGAGTGGGAGATGGTCAAGTTTTCAACTATATAAAAGCCACATTGAGATATTTCGAGACCTGACTGAGTTGGAGCTGGCAGAATGTGGATTAGAAGATGAGGATGATGTATTACCACACATTGGCCAGTATCTCCTGAAGTAAGGATAAAATATTTATCATAATTAATATTCCCATTTCAGTAGGACTTTTTGATATTTATGGGCCATATAGTATATCACTTAGTACAGACAGTGCATTCATGCATATATGACAAGCTTTTGTACAAGGCAACAGATTTATTCACTTTCACACCATCATGCTATATACCTGATTATATTTAAGTGGTCACCACATAAGTGTAAGATCAGCTTTAAAATCACACTTTAACCACTTAGAAATGAAAAGCTTGTGAAGATTTAATATGAACCTTTCAACAGATTTTGTTCATACACCAAAGCATTAAATTGTTGTTCTTGTCATTCATGTATTTATCAGTGTCATGTATTTATCAGTGTCATGTATAAACATGTACATGTAGTGTAGAAAAAGAAGACCTATGTATGTTAGGTGGTATATGCATAGTATGTATAAAGTAATAAAGTTTATTATGTTTGTAAATTACACCTACATATGAGTTATTTTCAATATTTCATGCAATTATCAGTAGGTAATTTGCCAGTAATTATAATAATATAATATTCAACATGAATTGATACCTGATATTGAGCTTAAGATTTCTGCAGACCATGCATACCACTCTGTACTTGTTACTTTAAATGTAATTTTTGTCTCTGTCTAAAACCTAGCAGGGAGCCTGGACCTGTTGGGTGTTTATGTATCAGATGGTATGTTTGTTTTGTGGTGTCAATAATAAAAAGCATTACATTTTATCAAACCCTGTTATATTTTGCTGCTCATTGTCCTGGTCAAGTATAAGGTCAGAGGTTGCACTTGACCACTTATGAAAAGAGGAGCTTGTGTATATAAATATCTCCCACAATTATGAACCCATCATTATCAAATTACTTTGTTCATTTTCCTACAGTAACAATATCAAACTCTACACACCTTTGTAATGCTATTTTGGACAAACGGTGAAGTTCACACTTGGCCACCTTTGAAATAAACTTAGGAACAAGATAACTCATGAGCACCTCAAAAGATTAAGTTTTTAAATAAAAAGACCAGGGAATGTGGGTATATCTATTTGAGTCACTGCAGACTTTGTTTTCTTATGGCCTCAAAGACATACCATGGCCAAATGCATATGTCTGTCCATTCTTCATAAAATTTTCCATTTAACATCTTTAAATTAACCAAGGGGTCAAGGTTACTGATCTGACCCATTGCATGCTATGATGAAGTATTAACAGTTTGTTGAATTGAATGACCTTTACCCACTTTCAATGTCACAGGGTTCTAGTGTTTTTACATTTTAATATGATTATTACTCCAAATGGGTTTTCCACGGGTACTCCGGTTTCCTCCCACAATTAGACCCCTCACGCGCTTACATCCGGGCCAACAAGAGTGATTAGTATAAGTTGACATAACTTGTTTCGCAATTGTTGTAAAATAAATAAAGTTTATATTTAATTTACAATTATGATAAGCCTTGTGATGCTTTATTTGAGGCTCGATAAATTGGCAACTTACCAAAATCCATACATTTGTTTTCACTTATCACCTACATTAGTCCAGTCTAATGTCATCTCCACTATGATTTAATGTAAATTTATATTGGGTGATAGCTAAAAAGAACAGGGGATATTAGTTTTGCAGTAGATGAGTGCTAAACCATCCATTTAGTAGAAGAAAAGATTGACGTCAGAATAGATATAAAAATGGATATAGTGCTAAGATTGCTGCAGGAATGTTGTTTTATGCAATATTTATTAAAATATTTTAGTGTGTAGCTCTTGAACATGATGTTCTCTTGTTTCACAAGTCTTGTAGGATATGGAGACTTGTAAAGATACTTTAAATCTTGTAATAAACATCTTTTGTTGTATCTTTATTTTAGGTTGACATATTTGTCATTGAGACAAAACAAACTGACAGACAAGGGACTGATGAGGCTGACTACCCCTTACAGAGTGATGGGAACTGGACCAGGGAAACTTGTACAGCTCAATATATCAGGTACAGTCACTTTGAACTGTGTGGAGTAGATCACTTAATGTCACTTTAAAAAACAAAGATACAAAACAGTCCATGTTAGATGTAATTGACAGCGATTGACAAGTATTTTACACATGGTGTGAGGATACTTCAGGCTCTCTTTGCAACTCGATAGGCAAAATGACTCCCACAAAGTTACATGTTTTCCTGAACAACAGTTTGATTTGACTGTATTTGGAAGAGTACTGTCCCTTGTTGTTTTCCTGGTGTTGATCTGGAGACTCGGCAGGCTTAATTTCTTCAACATGATGTTGTTTTTTCTTGAACAGCAGTATGCTTCAATAGTATTTGGAAGAGCTACTGCCCTTTGTTTGTTTCATAATCATAATCTTGTCTGAAGATATCATTCTTTTTAACCCATATCTTTAAAAGTTGGTTTGCTTTAATCTGTTAAATATTTATTTTTTACCTTCGACATTTCCATATCTGTATTCTTTATGATGAATTGAATCATGGATATTTCTTTGGTATGGAACAGGGCCCTATAATACACTTGAAGCTATTTTAAAATTTGAGGTAGATATTCTGTTAACTACATTTTTTTTTTAGCATGACCTTCTTTAGATGTACAGTACCATATATGGCACTATATCTAATATTTTTGACTTTTAATTTTATCATGTAAGTGCTGCATATCTACTTACCTTATGTTGTAGTTTTATACATAACCTTGTTTAATATCTATTTGTTGTTGTATGCTTTGGCAGTTTTTATTATGTCATGATGTTAGCTTGAAAATGATTTATATTAATATTTTGGCAATAATTAAACGGCCCGTTTTTAAAATTACACGAACACACACATATATATTATCTAATTTTGTAGCAACTTTACATTTTATGATCATTATATAATGCCTACAAATAGACCTCCCTTTATATGTAGCTGTCCTATTGAAATACTATGGTCATGTAATGTAGTTAATCCGATCCTAGGCCTATATTGATTTTCTAGCTCCTTGGGTAATTATTTGAATATAGTGTAATTCTTCAAGCATTTTTACAGATAATCAAGATATCACTGCATCTGGTATTAAAAAATACATGTCTGGTTTCCGAGAATTGAATGAGATCAACATCACTGGAACATCTGTAAAGGTATTTATCCTTGTTAAAGAGATTGCTTTGGAATAAAACCAAACCGTGTCGGTGTACTTGTATTACTTTGATATCAGACATTAGCCTTGCTATTTTGCATATTCAAACTATATTTAGTTGAAATTTGACAAAGTTTTTGACCCAAGAAAAACATTGTCAGACAGTGAATATTGTTATTGCTATTTCTTTAGAAGTACTGTATGGATCTTGGTCTCTAGTTGTATTGTTTTAATTTTTGGACTTAGCAGAAAAACAAAATTATCAACAGGCAGTCTCCTTGGATTTTTACAATAAAAGATTGTTGTATTTCTATTTCTTGAGAAGCACTGGATTAATCATTCTCAGATTTCATATTAAGGTTGTCCTTGGACTTTGTATTGCCCATTTGATTTTGGGTCTGACCAGAAACAACAAAATACCCAAAAGATAACCACCTTTGTTTTGAGAGTTAAAGAATTCTAGTAGATGAGCATATTGTCCAATCCACCCACATCTTATAATTGTTGATCATAAGAAACATAGATATTGGCTTATATTTTGGAGTGGCAAATGCATTTAAAACATGGTAAATCAATATCCTTTGTTGATACAATATGCATCTCTATGTTTTATAGAATGTCTTGTGAATAAGCAAGAGTCCTGGGCTTAAGGAAAGATTTGTTTAAATAAATAGCCTTCATAGGGTTCAGACACCTTTCAAAAATCTTGGCTTCTATCAGAATAAGAATAATCAAATGATTATTTGACCAAGGGCTTTCTAGAATGAAGGGCTTGTTCAAATGAATGCTTTATACTGACATGGTCCTATGTGTTTACAAGGGCTTTCTAGAATGAAGGGCTTGTTCAAATGAATGCTTTATACTGACATGGTCCCATGTGTTTACTAGGGCTTTCTAGAATGAAGTGCTTGTTCAAATGAATGCTTTATACTGACATGGTCCTATGTGTTTACAAGGGCTTTCTAGAATGAAGGGCTTGTTCAAATGAATGCTTTATACTGACATGGTCCTATGTGTTTACAAGGGCTTTCTAGAATGAAGGGCTTGTTCAAATGAATGCTTTATACTGACATGGTCCCATGTGTTTACTAGGGCTTTCTAGAATGAAGTGCCTGTTCAAATGAATGCTTTATACTGACATGGTCCTATGTGTTTACAAGGGCTTTCTAGAATGAAGGGCTTGTTCAAATGAATGCTTTATACTGACATGGTCCTATGTGTTTACAAGGGCTTTCTAGAATGAAGGGCTTGTTCAAATGAATGCTTTATACTGACATGGTCCTATGTGTTTACAAGGGCTTTCTAGAATGAAGGGCTTGTTCAAATGAATGCTTTATACTGACATGGTCCCATGTGTTTACTAGGGCTTTCTAGAATGAAGTGCTTATTCAAATGAATCCTTTATACTGACATGGTCCTATGTGTTTACAAGGGCTTTCTAGAATGAAGGGCTTGTTCAAATGAATGCTTTATACTGACATGGTCCTGTGTGTTTACTCACTGTACATATACATATGGTGTAGGTGACTTGTGATGATACTCTTAAATTTTGTTTGGTTTCAGAGAACTGAGGCCTTGTTAAAAATATGGAAGTTTGAGGTTAGAAAAGGGAGCAGTACTGGACCTGAGGTGGTTAGTTTTGGATGGGCCAGTGGTGTTGTAAGTAAGTGGGCAGTGCAAGCTGAACAATCGCTGATGTCGCTAAATAACCAAAAGACCTCTGCTCAGCGCTTCTGTAAGTCTGCTGATTATTTCTTTCATATCTTTGATGTTTTGTATTTACATGTGATATTTTCAAACCAAATTAATATAAGACTTCATAGGTAGATAGATCTCATCAAGGAAAAGTGCTGTGTACAACAATCATAACTCTCTTTTGCATAATATAGGAGTGATTGCCCTTTGTTATTTTTCATACTTCAATTATGTTTCATTCTGGAAGTAACCTGTCTCTGACACCCCTTTTTTTATTGCGCTGCTTGTACATTTTCTTTTATTTGTAGATTCAGAAAAGAGAAAAAATGATGATAAAAATTTGAAGTTAAGGGGCACTTTTAAACAGACTGTTAGTGGATACAACCTGATACTGTCTAGAATTATTGAGGGAGCCGTAGCGGCTGAAAAAGAATCTGCAGATTTCAACGTTTCTCAAAGAAGTAATAGGTTCAGGCAGCATGGACCTGGAACAGTTCTGCAATCAGCTGCATGTGGATATTGTATAAGTGACTTGTAATGATAAATCCACAAGTGATTCAGAGATTGCCCAAACATTAGACAAGGATTCAACCAGATCAGGAGCTGACACATGGAAATAAAGTCTGTAAGCCCTATCTCATCGCAACAAATTCTTGAATACAGTCATGTTACCAAAGAGACTACAACTACAGATTTACAAGTACCTAAATCCAGGAAAATTAATACTTGTGGATCAGTCACAAAATACACAGGTAGGGGTTTTTGTGAAAAAAGTATTGAGAATGATTTGCCCATGAACCTACCTAAAGAAACCCCTTCAACTAAAACTGTGATTAAAAAACTGACAATAAAAGACACAGAAATTATGATGGGACATTTAAGATCAAAATTTCAGACAACTGGAGTTGAAGAAAGTCTCTCACACCGATGGTTGATGCTGACAAAGTTCTTATTAAAAAGGCTAAGCTTTGTTTTTTGACAAAGAAGAAAGAACACTGATGGAATCCTGCACAAAGAATTCAGCGAGAAATTTACAAAAGAAAACTTTCAGAAAGGAAACATTTCAACAGTGATCCACCGTGTCAGTTTAATCAGAGAGGTAACATTTCAACAGTGATCCACCGTGTCAGTTTAATCAGAGGAAACATTTCAACCGTGATCCACCATGTCAGTTTAATCAGAAAGAACATTTCAACAGTGATCCACCATGTCAGTTTAATCAGAGAGGTAACATTTCAACAGTGATCCACCATATCAGTTTAATCAGAGAGGTAACATTTCAACAGTGCTCCACCATGTCCGTTTAATCAGAGGTAACATTTCAACAGTGATCCACCATGTTTGTTTAATCAGAGGAAACATTTCAACAGTGATCCACCGTGTCAGTTTAATCAGAGGAAACATTTCAACAGTGATCCACCGTGTCAGTTTAATCAGAGGTAACATTTCAACCGTGATGCACCATGTCAGTTTAATCAGAGGAAACATTTCAACAGTGATCCACCATGTCCGTTTAATCAGAGGAAACATTTCAACAGTGATCCACCATGTCAGTTTAATCAGAGGAAACATTTCAACCGTGATCCAGCGTGTCAGTTTAATCAGAGGAAACATTTCAACAGTGATCCAGCGTGTCAGTTTAATCAGAGGAAACATTTCAACAGTGATCCACCATGTCAGTTTAGTCAGAGAGAACATTTCAACAGTGATCCACCATGCCAGTTTAATCAGAGAGGTAACATTTCAACAGTGATCCACCATGTCAGTTTAATCAGAGGAAACATTTCAACAGTGATCCACCATGTCAGTTTAATCAGAGGAAACATTTCAACAGTGATCCACCGTGTCAGTTTAATCAGAGGAAACATTTCAACAGTGATCCAGCGTGTCAGTTTAATCAGAGGAAACATTTCAACAGTTATCCACCGTGTCAGTTTAATCAGAGAGGTAACATTTCAACAGTGATCCACCATGTCAGTTTAATCAGAGGAAACATTTCAACAGTGATCCACCATGTCAGTTTAATCAGAGAGGTAACATTTCAACAGTGATCCACCATGTCCGTTTAATCAGAGGAAACATTTCAACAGTGATCCACCATGTCCACCATGTCAGTTTAATCAGAGAGGTAACATTTCAACAGTGATCCACCGTGTCAGTTTAATCAGAGGAAACATTTCAACAGTGATCCACCATGTCCGTTTAATCAGAGGAAACATTTCAACAGTGATCCACCGTGTCAGTTTAATCAGAGGTAACATTTCAACCGTGATCCACCATGTCAGTTTAATCAGAGGAAACATTTCAACAGTTATCCACCATGTCAGTTTAATCAGAGGAAACATTTCAACCGTGATCCACCTTGTCAGTTTAATCAGAGGAAACATTTCAACAGTGATCCACCATGTCAGTTTAATCAGAGGAAACATTTCAACAGTGATCCACCATGTCCGTTTAATCAGAGGAAACATTTCAACAGTGATCTACCGTGTCCGTTTAATCAGAGGAAACATTTCAACAGTGATCCACCATGTCAGTTTAATCAGAGAGAACATTTCAACAGTGATCCACCATGTCAGTTTAATCAGAGAGGAAACATTTCAACAGTTATCCACCGTGTCAGTTTAATCAGAGAGGTAACATTTCAACAGTGATCCACCATGTCAGTTTAATCAGAGAGGTAACATTTCAACAGTGATCCACCGTGTCAGTTTAATCAGAGGAAACATTTCAACAGTGATCCACCGTGTCAGTTTAATCAGAGGTAACATTTCAACAGTGATCCACCATGTCAGTTTAATCAGAGGAAACATTTCAACAGTTATCCACCATGTCAGTTTAATTAGAGGAAACATTTCAACCGTGATCCACCGTGTCAGTTTAATCAGAGGAAACATTTCAACAGTGATCCACCATGTCCGTTTAATCAGAGGAAACATTTCAACAGTGATCTACCATGTCCGTTTAATCAGAGGAAACATTTCAACAGTGATCCACCATGTCAGTTTAGTCAGAGAGAACATTTCAACAGTGATCAACCATGTCAGTTTAAACAGAAGTAACATTTCAACAGTGATCCACCATGTCAGTTTAATCAGAGAGGAAACATTTAAACAGTGATCCACCATGTCAGTTTAATCAGAGAGGTAACATTTCAGCAGTGATCCACCATGTCCATTTAATCAGAGGAAACATTTCAACAGTGATCCACCATGTCAGTTTAATCAGAGAGGTAACATTTCAACAGTGATCCACCATGTCAGTTTAATCGTGATCCACCATGTCAGTTTAATCAGAGAGGTAACATTTCAACAGTGATCCACCATGTCAGTTTAATCAGAGAGGAAACATTTCAACAGTGATCCACCATGTCAGTTTAGTCCGAGAGAACATTTCAACAGTGATCCACCATGTCAGTTTAATCAGAGAGGAAACATTTCAACAGTGATCCACCATGTCAGTGTAATCAGAGGAAACATTTCAACAGTGATCCACCATGTCAGTTTAATCAGAGGAAACATTTCAACAGTGATCCACCATGTCAGTTTAATCAGAGAGGTAACATTTCAACAGTGATCCACCATGTCAGTTTAATCAGAGGAAACATTTCAACAGTGATCCACCATGTCAGTTTAATCAGAGGAAACATTTCAACAGTGATCCACCATGTCAGTTTAATCAGAGGAAACATTTCAACAGTGATCCAGCGTGTCAGTTTAATCAGAGGAAACATTTCAACAGTGATCCACCATGTCAGTTTAATTAGAGGAAACATTTCAACAGTGATCCACCATGTCAGTTTAATCAGAGAGGAAACATTTCAACAGTGATCCACCATGTCAGTTTAATCAGAGAGGAAACATTTCAACAGTGATCCACCATGTCAGTTTAATCAGAGAGGTAACATTACAACAGTGATCCACCATGTCAGTTTAATCAGAGAGGTAACATTTCAACAGTGATCCACCATGTCAGTTTAATCAGAGAGGTAACATTTCAACAGTGATCCACCATGTCCGTTTAATCAGAGAGGTAACATTTCAACAGTGATCCAGCGTGTCAGTTTAATCAGAGGAAACATTTCAACAGTGATCCACCGTGTCAGTTTAATCAGAGAGGTAACATTTCAACAGTGATCCACCATGTCAGTTTAGTCAGAGAGAACATTTCAACAGTGATCCACCATGTCAGTTTAATCAGAGAGGTAACATTTCAACAGTGATCCACCATGTCAGTTTAATCAGAGGAAACATTTCAACAGTGATCCACCGTGTCAGTTTAATCAGAGAAGTAACATTTCAGCAGTGATCCACCATGTCCGTTTAATCAGAGGAAACATTTCAACAGTGATCCACCATGTCAGTTTAATCAGAGAGGTAACATTTCAACAGTGATCCACCATATCAGTTTAATCAGAGAGGTAACATTTCAACAGTGATCCACCCTGTCAGTTTAATCAGAGGTAACATTTCAACCGTGATCCACCGTGTCAGTTTAATCAAAGGAAACATTTCAACAGTGATCCACCATGTCCGTTTAATCAGAGGAAACATTTCAACAGTGATCCACCGTGTCAGTTTAATCAGAGGTAACATTTCAACCGTGATCCACCATGTCAGTTTAATTAGAGGAAACATTTCAACCGTGATCCACCGTGTCAGTTTAATCAAAGGAAACATTTCAACAGTGATCCACCATGTCCGTTTAATCAGAGGAAACATTTCAACAGTGATCTACCGTGTCCGTTTAATCAGAGGAAACATTTCAACAGTGATCCACCATGTCAGTTTAGTCAGAGAGAACATTTCAACAGTGATCAACCATGTCAGTTTAAACAGAAGTAACATTTCAACAGTGATCCACCATGTCAGTTTAATCAGAGAGGAAACATTTACACAGTGATCCACCATGTCAGTTTAATCAGAGAGGTAACATTTCAGCAGTGATCCACCATGTCCGTTTAATCAGAGGAAACATTTCAACAGTGATCCACCATGTCAGTTTAATCAGAGAGGTAACATTTAAACAGTGATCCACCATGTCAGTTTAATCAGAGAGGTAACATTTCAACAGTGATCCACCGTGTCAGTTTAATCAGAGGAAACATTTCAACCGTGATCCGCTATGTCAGTTTAATCAGAGAGGTAACATTTCAACAGTGATCCACCATGTCAGTTTAATCAGAGAGGTAACATTTCAACAGTGCTCCACCATGTCCGTTTAATCAGACGTAACATTTCAACAGTGATCCACCATGTCCGTTTAATCAGAGGAAACATTTCAACAGTGATCCATCATGTCAGTTTAATCAGAGGAAACATTTCAACAGTGATCCACGGTGTCAGTTTAATCAGAGGTAACATTTCAACAGTGATCCACCATGTCAGTTTAATCAGAGAGGAAACATTTACACAGTGATCCACCATGTCAGTTTAATCAGAGAGGTAACATTTCAGCAGTGATCCACCATGTCCGTTTAATCAGAGGAAACATTTCAACAGTGATCCACCATGTCAGTTTAATCAGAGAGGTAACATT